CGCACATTCACGAGGACGACGAGAAGTCAGATTCAACCGCTTCGTTACTTCTTTTCAAAAATTTTGTGAACCCTCACGACCCCTCAGACGTGGCGGGAATCAACAATCTTTCCAAAAATTACAAACCGTCCAAACTTTCCGAACGAACGGTTGCCTCTGCAAGAAGTTCATGTCCCAAAATTGCAAAATTGAGAATTCTACCACGTTCTGTGCAATGACTAACAAAAACTCGACACACATAATAGTTAGGAAGGATAGAGACTAAAGTTATTTCTTTGCAATTTTTTCAAGACACAAATATCAAAAAATTGCTCCACCAAAACCTGCATTTTATTCGCGCGGCTGATGCTCAATTCAAAACTACTAGAATTCGAATGAAATTTAAAAACTTCGTACCTGTGTATTTTCGACGAAAATCGCCTCCATTTCCGTGAGAAACCGGGACGACGCGTAACTTCGGCACACCTGGTAAGTTCGGCGATCAATGCATGGCGTCGGCCAAATGGTGATCAGATCATCGTCGTGTGTAGATCAAATTATCCATTGCGAGGCATATTCTTTACAAAATATTGAAGGACATGGTGATCGAGTCCCTTCACCTCTTAAGATTGCGCCACGCATTTGAGATCGGTTCCAGACAAGGGCCATACAAAACCTTGTACTCGTGTCCGTCGTGGTCTAAAATCAACACATCAAGCCCCTTTTTGAGCTAGTGTTTTTTATTCAGCATGTGGGGTTAGTACCAAGTCGCTTACTCACGATTAAAGTAACGGAAAAATGATTCTGTGGGATGTGTGCGCAAATGGTTGAACCTCGTAGATAATATTTTCAGAGACAAAATATTAGGTCGCAACGAAAGTCCTGGCGCATTTCTTCAAAGTCCTGACAAACGGCTGCGCATTAACCTGGAGGGGAAATTTTTTAACCATATACAGGAATGGTAACATCCCTTCATATAAGTTAGTATAAGTTTCTACCCATGTACGCCACTGACTTCTTTGCGAATTTTGTATGGGACACACAGCGAGCGAAGCCTGCCGCAAAATATGCTCTGTGG